ATACTGATGCAATGGACATCCAATATACTCAACGAGTTCTACTAGATTTTCCAAAGAAACTAACCCTTTTATAAAGATATCTTAATTGGTCAGTGAAGGAGTTTGATATATATACTACGGTTATGTAAATCCAATCCCGACAGGTGCTCAGGTATCCTAATTGGATCGCACCAGGTGCACAGATACCATACCCCAGAACGTTAAATAGGTTTCCAGGTAGATGCACTTACAGGGGAATTATCGTAAAATTTTTACGCTGGTATCTGTTGGTTATCTTTAGCTAGGCATTAACATCTGGATATTTATAAACAAAGTACAATTACTCCACCAAATAAACAACATAAAGGAATTATTTAACGATACATATTGTTAAAAAAAAATCATTAAAAAATAAAATAAAAATTTACATGTGTTCAGATTTTTATAACACCACGAAATAATTTGAACGATGAAAATAAATCAAATTGATATAAGTCTGCTTGATAGGATCCCAACATGTGAGAAAGTTCTGAAATGAAATCATCAAAGAGTCATTGGAAGCTTTAGTCTATAATAAATCTAGGGGTGTAGAAATGTTTTAGGCAGCTTCCAGAAAAGTAAGGATAATTAGATGTGAACAAAATTAGGAAGTGAAGAAAGAGTTCAAATGTTTGTAAACAGTTATCAAGTGATAGATACAACAAATTCTCAGTAGTTTTGTCAGCTTACAACTCTCATTTTAAAAAATCATTTTTTTTTCTTACTTCATTTCAATTATTTTTTTTTGAATTCATAGCTTTTTATCATAACAATGGAATATATACATGACAAAAAAAAATCATTTATCAAAATAATATCTATTTATCAATATATATAAAAAAAAATCCAAAAAAGTGATGGTAGTCAAGCTAACGATGCTTTGATTATATGTGGGCATGGTTGCCGTGGTTTTCTCCTCATCCCCAGGCCAGTGTGTGTACCTGGTCCTCCTGTCCCTCTGATGTAACCAACAGATCAGGGGTCATCATTAATCTAAACATAGAGGGCATTAACTCCCTACAGGGGCCTACCTGGAGGGTAAATTACATACAGGGGTCCCCCAAAGGAGATTACTAAAGGTAAAAAAACCAAGTCCTTCTGTTAATTTATTTTTTTAACATTTATGGAAAAAAAACTATTGTTAAGAACACTAGATCATTAAAATCTAATTGTTTAAATAATTTGAAATAAAAGTTCTTTTAATCATATTTTGTTTCTGAGTGTCTCAAAAAATCTTTTATATTTTCTGCGACATCAGATATTTTCCAGGGGGCCCAAATTTCGTGGCTTCCTGACAAAACACCAATCCATGGTTACATGAATTTGTGTATTAAGAGTAGCCACTCGAACGGGAAATTGCTTTATATCAAAATTGTAATCACTTCATGGACCTTTGAATTCATAGATGAAGATTTAACCCACGGAATCAACAAAATAAAAATTCCACAAAAATTAGTGATTTCACAGTACCATAAAAAACAAAAAAATATCTAACAAAAAAAAAGGTCTAAAAACAATGCTTCCAATTTGAGTTTTAGGTTCAAGTCAGTTTTCATTAATAGGAAAGTACATAAAACTGAAGACCAGTTTAAATGAAGGAAAAAATAAAATTTGTCAATGTTAATTTTTTCTTAAGTCATCCATATCGCCTGCTTGCCACTCAATGTCTCCTGCCTCAGGTGCTTTAACTGTCTAGGATGTTCCTAAAGATGCACTATAAGTGTTTTTTTTATGTAGTTTCCAAAATATAATTACGTAACCATCAACCTGTGCTTCTGATTTTTAATCTGTTGATAATGACATTCCCAGACAAGTGCATTAAAATAAGGAAATGGGGTCTATTTTCAATTTACGAAGGGTTGGTATGGAATCTTGTTCCCCCGGAAACAATTATAACCTTTAACCTCTCAGAAATAGTCATCAAAATTTACACACTTTTTCAAATAATTAATACTTTGATTCTAACAAGATCCCTTGGCAATTTAAATTAGAAAGATGTTTTTTGAATGAGTGAAGATATTTTTGAGTATCAGGCTATACTGCAGCATAATTGCCTAGGTAACCATCCCTTGGTAACCAATTGCCTTCCGGTATGACAAAACCAACCGACACAGTTGTTTTCTCGTATCAAGATTCGACTTTGTGGAGTATGTTTTTTGCCCTGCCAGGCTTCAAATCAAATTTACCTACATTTCATTTTGGCTAGCTAAGCATTCTGTTGCATGGCCTCATGTTATGTTGGATAGTAATGTATTGTGTGATTGTGATGTTCTTAAGTTCTATGCCCACTGTTTTTTTTACCACAATAACGGATTTCACAAGCACGCAGCTTTCTCATCAGGGCTTGGAACATCTTTACAAAAACATTTCCAACACTCACAGGCTGTGTTGCCAATGATAATTATCAGAAGGCTAGATAA